AAACTTGGCTGATGGAGTTTTCCACCGAAAGTAATTAGTACTCATGTGACTTCTAAGTTCGAAAGTTAGTACGTACTAACTTACGGGGAAATACGGTAGCATCTACCAGGACTGGCATGCACTGATAGGCTGCAAGTAAAAGGTGATACTCGTACTCAAAATAAACAAAAAACATTCAACCGTCGTTTCCAGAGTTGCGCAAAACTTTACCAGATTCCCGAATGCATTCCAGCGCATTTGTTTTCTGCGCTCCTTCCGATTCCGCGATGGGTATGGACGTCATTCCATGCCCGGTAGTTATTACCGGGAAGCCGTTCCTTGGTGCAGGGTGCACACTTGCGACTCAGTTGAACGGACTTCATCAAAGCGTAGTGCCTAACGTTCGTTCATCTACGATGAGTTTTAGCGTTTTCGACATGTCTTGTCACTGTCCCAGTGCTGAAGTGTACGACTACTGCACGACTACTGCACCAATACTGCTGAGCTTGGGTATACCGACTAGCATTGTTAGAGCTTGATAGGGAGGGAGAGACATAGAAAGACATCCATCATTGCATGGGTAAAAATGAGAGAATGAGAGAGAGGGGGAGGTAGAGAGAGAGAAAGAGAGAAGAGAGAGAGAGAGAGAGAGAGAGAGAGAGAGAGAGAGAGAGAGAGAGAGAGAGAGAGAGAGAGAGAGAGAGAGAGAGAGAGAGAGAGAGGGAGAGACAGCGAGGGGGAGGGGGAAGAGGGAGAGAGAGACCGCCTCCCTGATCTTCACGAAGTACAGTGAGTTCAGTACATAACTTCAAACCTGGGAGCATCATTGCAGGCAGTTCCACTGTCACATTCCGCAAACCTTGTGTAGTTATGTGGAAGACATAGGAAAGTATGACCCAAGGTGTTTGTGACACATAAGGAAATAACGGTACGGAGCAGGAGTGAATGGCATGGTCCTTTCCGATGAGACGAGCATGCCCACATGCATGCTAAAAACGAAGACAGCAAAAGTGCAAAACTACACTGCCAAGGCAAGCTAAAGAGATTCTTAGCGACGTCGAGGTTATGATCGAGGAATGCTTAATAGTACTGGTGAGCTTGGTAGCTTGGACTAGGCGTCCAGTAGAAGAATGGGCTGTGTGTTCCTTTCTTCATTGAGTGCACGTAGTGCTGCTTATCGTATGCTGCTGGCATAGGAATTGCCATCCAACCAAGATTACCGCTATATTCTGTTTCAGAATTTCGGACACAATTTCGCGCTCATTATAAACAGCATATATTTGCCTGCACAAGTCGCTTCACTTGTATATAAATCAAGGATCATTGTCACTGTTAGGAGATCCTCCCGATAGGCTATGCCTTGGGGAAATCCTTTAAATAATAAATATAGTCTTTACCAGTTCGTCTCAGCGAAGCAACATACCTCAGCGCCCGACGAAGCAAGGAAAGCACACTTCCACACACCCATTGATCGCCTAGTCTCCCACTGTGGATAACGCGATTGTAAGAGCTGGGGAAATGTACCCATTAGTAGCATTACATCCACGGTGTGCACATTTTTTTAAAGCATGTTGCTCCTATGGCCATCCCCCCCCCCCGCCCCCGCAGATGGCATTTCTGTACCTGCATGTGTGTTTTAATGTCTGTGAGATCCTTGTTGGACTTTTTATTATTATTATAGGCTTGGAGTATATTCTAGTCACCTGTGCAAACGTGAAGCTGCTCTTACCCCCGTACTCTGGAAGTTGAACACATAGATGATAATATATTTGAGGAATCGGCACCAGCGTACAACGATGCCCTCAGAGAGAGTGGATACGTGGAACGAGTCGAGTACATGGAAGAGAGGAAGGAGGAGACAGGACGAAGAAAGAAAAATAGGCGGCGCAACATCACTTGGTACAACCCACCCTTTAGCAAGAACGTGGCCACAGATATCGCACACAAATTCCTCCGACTCCTCGACACACACTTTCCTCACGGCTGCCGATTGCGTCAGATATTTAACCGCAACAACGTCAAAGTTAGCTATTCATGTATGCCGAATATGTCCGCAATAGTCAAATCCCACAACAACCATGTTCAAAGGAAGAGACAAACACAGGACAAGAACGTCCCCGACAAACGATGCAACTGCCGAGACAAAAGCACCTGCCCAATGGACGGCGACTGCCAAGTACGATGCATCGTGTACAAGGCAACAGTCCAGCATACCGGAAGAGAGCAGAGGCACGAGTACCTCGGCCTAACGGAACCACCCTTTAAACAGAGATACAACAACCACATGAGCACGACGAGGCATGAGAGGATGGAAAAAAGCACGGAGCTGTCCAAGTGCATATGGAAGCTCAAGCGGAAGAACACTCCGCACTCTGTGAAATGGGCCGTCGTCACCAAGGCCCAGGCCTACTCGAACGCGACCAAGCGGTGTCCCCTATGCCTTGCTGAGAAACTGGAGATCCTGGAAGCAGACAAAACGGTCAACATCAATAAAAGGTCGGAGTTGGTGTCGAAATGCAGACACGAGAACAAGTATTACTTGTCCAGATTCTCACCATCAGTTACGTGAGTTTTTCGACATGGCGCAACCTGCACCAGGGTTGGCGCCATGGTGCTTTCTCTCTCCCTCTTCACTCTTGCTGTGGTCTTGCGCTACCGTCGCTATCGCCTTTAATGACTCGGTAACACTGCCCTGTTATCGCCTCTATTCTCACCTTTATCCGTTAACTCTCACAAAACAACTCAATACCATTGTCCCAATGCCACGTCTTCACTTCGCACATATGCACTAACTTCCACACTAGCATCAAATATCTAGGCCTGCTCGTAGAGAATTCGATAGTGAATGCTGCTGTCTGATGATCGCTCGATGCGTGAAACTTTAAGTTACAGCTAACACAGCCTTTCGCCTCTGTTGTGTGTGTAGATGATAATAATTATTATTGTCCCTGCATGTGGAACTTTCAAAAATGATTTCATTGCCAATCCGGGAAGGGCAGCACAGGTCCGCATTACTCCTTGCAACGAAGATCTCCGTGAAATCATTCTAGAATACTCGACCATGATAAGCCTATGTTGTCGGCAACATGGGCGATGAAGTATTTTGTATCACGGGTCGTAACTAATATCCGGTTCCTAGGTTTCGCCTGCTCATGAGGTTGAACTCCAGGTAGAGTGGTGGTAGAATATGGAATAATCAGAGCGGGTCTGCTTAGTTAGCTTAGCCCTGGTGACTAGAAAGCTAAAGAGTAAAGAGGTTCATGGCCAGTCCGTGCCGCCCAGTGTACATGTAAGCAAAGTCCGATAAAGCAGCTCCATCGAGACTAGAGTACTAGTATACAGTCCGTGCCGCCCAGTGTACATGTAAGCAAAGTCCGATAAGGCCAAGTAAAAAAAAAAGCTAGATGATCGTCCCCGTCCGCCCCAGTTTTTGTCAGCGCCCCAAGAAATATTTTATTTTTTAAATCGTGAGTTTTTGCCGAAATCGTTGGTTTTTTACCGATCGCGGATGCAGGAAACATGTGCACGCTTTGTTTAATACTTTCTTTACTATATGGACCACATACTACTAGTATATCACAACGTCAGTATCGATCTGCTGAAGAAAGAAAAAGAAAAAAAGAAAAAAAAAGAAAAAAAGAGAAAAAAACCTTGATGTTGTTGTGTACACTGTGTGCATGAGAGGGTAAAAAGTAAAAAAATAAAAATAAAATCCTCCCGCCCTCCCCGATTTTTCCAAAAAAAAGGACGATCATCTAGTAATTTTTTTTACTCGGCCTAAAGCAGCTCCATCGAGACTAGAGTACTAGTAGTATACACTTGCGGAACGGCACACTGGCTCACGTGTTCATGAAAACTCTAGAACAGAATGATCAAGGTACTACAGTTATGGATATGGAAGGGCTCCTCTGCCAGCACCTACTCACCTAGTGCCTAGCGAGAATACTAAACTGCTCAGTGGCGCAACGCAACGCATCAGACCTCGGAATCCTAGCTAGTGATCAGCTGACGTGAGGAAATAGTCAGCACGATGGGCAAAAGCTAAAGATCTTGATAGGCACCTCACGTAACTGTGTCGTTGCAGTTCCTGTTCACAGTTGCTGTTACTGCTACTGATTCTACTAATCCTACTTGAAGTACAAGTAAGTTGCGGCATCCAGCCCCGAGTTAGTTGGCGCTCAAACAATGACACGTCCGCGCGCGACCAAATGCAAACTCCATTGTTCTGTTTACCGATTACACGCAACGACACGTCCATCACGTCTCCACAATAGCGCTCGTGCGATCGAGAAACAGGTGCTATTCTGTATAGGGTGCAGGTGAAAGTGTAGCAACGACAATGGAATTCGAAGTAACTAATTACTTGGTCTAATAGACTGTGTGAAGGGTGCGAAACTAACTGTGATAGCAAAGCGCAATGGTTTACTTGCTCTTCGTGCGTCAACATGCTGACCATGGATGAAAGTATTAGTTGGACAAAGAGGAATGTCTTTGCAGTTACCCTCACTCCTAGTAGTGAGTACTCGTACCCAGTTGACCGTGGGTGTCGGCGCAGTTCCTAGAATGTAAAGTGGGCGTGAACGAGTGTGTGAACAAGTGCATTCGTGCATTCGAGTGCATTCGCCTACGATCGTCGTATGAGAGAGACTGCGGTCCGCTATCGCTACACTTGTACCCTTCATGTTGGTTGACAGCATGCAACAACGTGGAGGACACCGTGTTCGCAAACAGTATGTAGTACGGTTTACTACCCGGCCTTCTTCTACAAAATGATTTTGTCTAACGTCGACGCGTCACGAACCGTACCATGCGAACGTCCGTTTGACTCAAGTCATGAGGCCGCACTCAAACTCCGCAGTGCGGTACGCACTTCGCCATAACAATGCTTCCGACCTGAACGGCACCAGTAGGCAGTACACACAGTCATCGAGTCATCATGGTATACTAAGTACTAGCAAGAGTAGATAAACATTACGTTTATCTACTCTTGCCACCAGTACTACGCTTCACAGCGCGCGGTGTATCACCAAGATCACCGTTTACGTAATGATTACGTTGCAGGAAACCAGCACTGCACTCTGTAAGAAGACCCTGGCCTAGGCCGGGTCTGTTGGGAATGCCGAAGTAAAAAACAATACAATACAAAATACTGCAGCAGTCGATCACCTGTATTGGCGTGGATCAGAACTATCTTGTCGTTGTGGTGAATCGTATCCCCAGACCATAACTTGCTGCTGTTCTTTGACCGAGCCAGTCACCTCGCTTGTTTTGGCTACCATTGTGGTCGAACTCTTGGAAAACGTATAGCCAAGTTCCAGAGACTCGGTCGGCTGTTTTCACTGTCCTATTGTCACCAACTCACTGTCCAAAATGTCTTCCTCCCCGAGCACGTCAGAAGCAGAACTTCCGGGAGATACGATGCCTTTTGATAGTTTCCTGCCGGTCTCACAAGGTCCAACGGCGCCTACTAGAACTGGACAGGGTAAGTGACGAAAGTCGAACGTTTTGCAACCTGTATGCTCTGTACACGATGTGGGTATATTGGTTTCCGGCATGGGATAAAAAATATTATTATCCTGCTAGGCATCGATTACTGCCCTTCTTCTCCGATCTATTTTCTTTGTAAATTGTTAAGAACTGGCTCTCTAGCGGCTAAGCCTGCATGAGGCTGCATGCGTTTTTTTTTTAACAATGCAACACAATATTGTGGAAAGGTCACAAACAATAAGAGACAAGATCAAAAGGAAAGCGTTACAATAATAATAATTAGGGCTGAAACGATTATACCGAATAATCGAGTACTCGTTTGATAACTCTAACGATCGAGCAATCGTTTAGATTACCGATGACGATTATTTTTGCGTTTTTTGAATTTGTGTCCAGAAAGTACTGTAAACCCTCGTTTTGTGAAGTTTGAATCAGTTTCCGCTGGGAGTATGCAGTTTCCAGGGGTATGGTTCATGTTCTGAGGTTAAATTGACTTCAAAACTGCCATGTTTCGGAGCTACCCTTTCACTAATGCAGATTTGTTGGTATTATGAAGGCATAGTTTGTGGAAAAAGAGTAATGTTTGCACAGAATTATGAGACTATTTGCTAACGATTATAATCGATTACTCGATCGTTAAGCTGAAGAGTAATCGATACGTGAAAATCCACGATCGTTTCAGCCCTAAATTAATAATAATAAAACGTAGCCTGTAAAATGTAAAGAGTCACTGAGTACAGTTTAATTCAATATCCATGTCCAGTATTTATAATAAAAATAATCTGCTGCAATGTATAGGCTGCAAGCGTGTTGGGAGGGGGGGGGGGGAGTGTGTGGGTGCATGTGTGTGGGGTTGGGGGGGGGGGGGTGACAGCTAGTTCAATTGGCGGGTGCACTTCTGCCAGAAAATGTTGGGTCTGTTGCCAACTGGCTTGCTGCTTGAAGGTGTAATGTTGTACCTGTCACCTGTGTTGGTTTCAGGGTTCATATACAATTGCACTGTCTATTTGAAGTATACATGTACATACCTGTTGGCCATGGACTGCTTCTGGCTAGATTAACTCTTGTGTAATCATGGTGCTAGTGAAGCTTGTATCAGATCCACTCTGATTTAGCCACCTACACTAGTACCAAGTATTACCTTCACTGGGGGCAGGGGTAACTGCAGTTGGATCCCGGGACGGATACCTTGATGCCGTTGGGTGGTTCAATAGCCAGTTGAATCACCTTTCCAAGATTCCCTTTGTGTGTCTCTCCCCTCTTTGGGGGAGACTCCCGTGGCCAGTAAAAGTGGGCAAGGAAAAATAGATACTGAAAAACATGTGTAGAGTGTAAAAAGAAGCCATCATGCACAGCTGCAAGTCGGTCATGTTTTGTTCACTATCAAGTAGTTAGTATCAAGGTGTTCAAGTCCACTACACCGTACTCATACTAGTACTACAGTAGCTCATGACTATATTTTTCAAATGAAAGAGAGAAAATCCCCTTTTACGGGCAGAACTGAAAAACAATGTTGCACAATCATGTACACATGCTGTAGGAAATGCTCATTTCGCTAGAAAGTTCAAGAATCTATTTATTCATTTATTTCTTATTTGTCTGAAGTCACTAACTAACTTACATTAAAATTACAGTCTTCTCAGATATTTATTTACCGGTTTTCATTCCGTTTGGCTATTGCAGACGCTCGTTTGTAGGGTGCGTCTCGTACTACGTAACTGTTTCTGCGTACCGGTAACTTCTTCAGCGGACACAGATACGTGTAACGTGTGCACGTATAACTTGTTCTACATACGCGCGCACCCCTTTGTGTGTGCATGCTGTTCCTTTTTTGCTATGCTCTTGAAAAATGAAATCATTCTTGTTTTCGAGTTATCTGCGTCCATGTCGGCAAATGCTGATGACAGCCACCTTGGCAGCTGTAGGGTAGGTCCACCGTTGAGGGATTCGACTAGCTTGTACATGGTCCTTCGAGCTTCAGCACGAGCCCGAGAAATTTGATTTGTGATTATGGCCGAGACGGAGTCTGAGGATCAGCCAAAGACGACAACAGTGTCGGTCCAACGGTTAGTTCGATTGCGTGGAGCACATCGGTCAGCTGCCTCCAAATTGGTATCTAGAATCGATGATTTTGTGGAGAGGATTTCCTATGTTACGAGGAGCTCACCCGAGTGGCAAGGGGAAGATCTCAGCGTAAATGATAGAGAGGATTGTGCCTTGGACCTGAAGAAACTCCGGGAGAAAGTGGATTTGCTGGGGCGCTTGGACTCCCAAATTTTGGACGCCATCGAGGACGACGACATTGAATCTGAAATTTGTGATGCAGCGGATTATCTTATGAAGTACGAGTCCCGCATCGGCAGGGCTACGCGAGCGATTTCAGATGCAAGTCAACTGTTGGAGAATATCGCCAGTGTACGGGCTTCCCAATCCTCACAGCCAAAGTCAGAGTCACTGTCACCCGTTTCCGGAAAGGATGAGTGCTGCACAACAAGCAAGGCCAAGGGCAATCTGGACAGTCGGGAACCAGCTCCAGATGAGACTGGTGAGGACTCACCAGTTGTCGCCCCGTGTGTCTCGCGTTCCAGTGTAGTATCTAGTACGAGTGCCAGTAGTGGAAGCAGCTTCCACCACCGGATGAAGCTGCCCAAGCTCGAGATTCCTAAGTTCAGCGGTGACATCCGAGCTTGGTCCTCGTTTTGGGACATGTTTGGGTCGGCCATTGATGGCAATGACACCCTGGATGACGTTGATAAGTTCAACTACCTGAAGTCCTTGGTAGTGGGAGAGGCACGAGAGGCAATTGCCGGATTTGCCCTGACAGGAGCCAACTACAGGGCTGCAGTTGACGTCCTCAAGCAACGATTCGGCAACGTCCAGGTCATTGTCGCCAGCCACATGGAGGGCCTCTTGAATGTTGCTTCTGTCACCAGCGAGGATGATGTAACTGGCCTCAGGAAGCTATACACCACCGTTGAGACACACATTCGTAGTTTACAGTCCCTCGGGATGAGTCGCGAGTCTTATGGATCCCTGTTGACGTCTGTTTTGATGTCCCGATTACCCGCAGAGTTCCGGCTCATTGTCAGCCGCAAGATTGCCGGGACTGAGCAGCATTGGGAGATCGGTGAGCTGCTATCGGCTGTCCATCTGGAGCTGTGTGCCAGGGAGCGAGCGGCACCGGCAGCTAAGCCAACCATCCCGATAGCCCAACCCAGAAAGTCCGCACCAGCCACAACGTCAACACTCTACACTGGTGCGCCTGAGCAACTGAAGTGCTTCTTTTGCAATGGTAGTCACACTGCCGGGAGATGCGTAACAGTGACGAATGTTGCCACCCGTAGACAAATCTTGAGGAAGCAAGGCAGGTGCTTCCGATGCCTCAAACGCAATCACATAGCAAAGACCTGTCCAAATGCATACTCTTGTGTCAAGTGTGGTGGGAGCCACAACGTAGCCATATGTAGTGGCGAGAGGCAGCAGAAGGCAGAGGTGAACACGCAGGCTGTTGCTGCGAATGCTTCCGCGGACCCTCGCAGACAGGAATCGGTATTGCTACAGACCGCCAAGGCCGTGGCTTATAATGTCACACAGTCCGATCGCAGCGCCGCTATCCGACTGTTGATGGACGGCGGCAGCCAACGGACGTATGTTACGAGCGCTCTCCGTGACGCTTTGCAACTGCCGGTCCTGGATCAACGTAAGGTCATCATCAAGGCGTTCGGCCAGGACAACACAACGTCCCAAGTAGTTGATGTAGTTCAACTTGGAATCCGAGTCCCCGACGGCGAGGACATCACGGTACAAGCCTATGCTGTGCCGCTATTGTGTGACCCGATTACTGGCCAATCCATGCACACGTCAGTGGAGTGCTGTAGTCACCTCGATGGATTGGCGCTAGCCGACACCAGATATGACACAGGTACTCGATCAGTGGATCTGCTAATCGGCGCGGACCTCTACTGGACTATTGCAACGGGTAACATCATCCGAGGTGCCGACGGACCTGTGGCCATTGAGACAAAGCTAGGGTGGGTCCTATCCGGTCCAGCCACCGTACTTCCCACGCCAGAAGATACCAGTGCACTGGCCACGCACGTCTTCTCCGTCGAGGAAGAGGCATCAGCAGCAGATCGAGAGCTCACTGACTCCCTGCAAAGGTTCTGGGAAATTGAATCACTTGCAGACCAGGACAAGACGGAGTATGAAGAACTCGTTGAGACAATCAATTTCAACAATGGACGGTATGAGGTCAGACTACCATGGAAGGACGATCATCCATTGTTGCCGGACAATTTCCAACTCTGCAAGTCCAGACTCGTCGGTCTCCACAAACGGCTCCGCAAGGATCCTGAGCTGCTCAAGTCCTACAATGACACCATCGAAGAGCAGCTGCGTACCGGCATCATTGAACCCGTGGAGACAGAAGACAGCACAGTCGGTCGAACGCACTATTTGCCGCATCATGCTGTCGTGCGAAGTGATAAATTGACAACGAAGGTGCGTGTGGTGTACGACGCGTCAGCTAAAACAGCCGGCACGTCCCTTAACGCATGTCTGAGATCAGGTCCACCACTCACCGGCAGTATTGTGGATATCTTGTTGAGGTTCCGCACCCATGAGGTCGCGCTGTCAGGCGACATTGAGAAGGCATTCCTCATGATATCGATCGCCGAAGAGGACAGGGACGTCCTGCGATTCCTGTGGTTTGACGATGTCACGAAAGACAATCCCGAGATTGTTGTGTTCCGCTTCACCCGCGTTGTGTTCGGCGTCACATCCAGCCCGTTTCTGTTGAACGCAACCGTGAGACACCACCTCAGCCAGTTCAGCCAAGATGATCCTGAGTTTGTGCAGACTCTGGCCGACGGGACTTATGTGGACGATATCAATGTGGGTGGTGAAACGGATGACGAAGTGTACATGCTGTACTTGAAATCAAAGCTTCGTCTGGCCGACGGCGGATTCAACCTACGCAAGTTTGTTACCAACTCA